CAGCCCGTCTGCCTGTATCCCCACCCCATTCCTCAACATTGACTTAAAACTCTGCAACTCTCATGTCCTGGGCTGCCGAGCCACCTGCATCAGGGATCACTGGGTAGGTGGTTCTCAGTCTTCATCATCTCATTTGAATGAGCTTTATCCAGAAATGATAGGTTCCATGATCAGAAAATTATATAACCTTCTAACCCAGGCTGTTTTTTTCACAGTGCCAGGCTTGACAGCTGATAATTTCAGAGCAGCCATCTGAAGCCAAAAATATGGGAATATAATTAGTATTCTATATTTCTATTAAAGTTCTGGAATTACAGAACAGACTTTCTATTCTGAAATGGCCAGTACCGTGGCACAGATGTATTTCCTCAGCAGGTGTCTCCTCCTCATAAAGGCTGCAGAACTGCTAATGAGCTGTGATAGAAAACCATTCTTCCCGCATTCCCTGCCATTTGGGTAGACCTCGGGAAGCAGTCAGTGCTTCTGCAGCTGAATGAGCAAGGGAAGTGTGTTGTTTCTATACTGTTGGGTTTAGAGACCTATCTTTTGGAACTTGAGTTGGCATGATAGATCTTTAAAAAAAAAAAAAAATCTCATTTTCAATATTGTATGTATCAAAGTAGTGTGATTTTTGTGTGTGTGTTTCCTTATCTTGATTCTGTGGGTCGAAACAAGTTGGTTCTTGCAGAAAGTGAAAGACAAGAAATGAGCCGTGGGACAGGTGCCGGGTCTGTTTTTCTTGGACCCAGTACTGCTGTTAGGCTGTGGAATATTCCACTTCCTTAATAACCGCGGAATTGGCATTCCCTCCAACTGTGCTTCCCAAGTGTGGGATGGGGCCACTGATGGGTGTGACTTCTGGTTGTACTTAAGGTGATTTCTGAAGGTACTATACGGATGTTAAAAAAAACCTTAAATTACATGATGAGTTAGTTATTCCCAATTTTCTGTCCATCTCAGTTGAAGCAGCAAAGATTTCTGGGGCTGGAATATCCTTAAAACTCTAGCACTTGTTAATTTCCCCTTTGTAGCTAAGAGACTGAAGATCTCAGGCAACTGGATCCAGCTAGAAATGAGTAACATCGATTTTCGTTGTGTTTACTTTTCTGGTTACCTTCCATTTATGGCAAACAATCTTGGTTTTCTGTTTCCTGTAGTGATACATTTCCTTTTTAAATGGTGGCTATTAAAAAGGGAGCCAATTGAAAGAAAAATGTGAATAATAGTCGAAGTCTTCAAATGATGTCGGTGTGTTAGGCCAGGGAGCACACTCGGAGGGCGAGTGCTGAGTGCAGTGAAGAGTGCTGGCTGCACCTGAGGCTTCTCTGGGGAGCTTCACCATCCTGATGCCTGGGCCTCAACCCGGACCAAGTAGATCTGACTCTCTGAGGGCGCGGCCCAGGGATCAGGGTTTGACTAAAACATCCCAGGTGTTTCCAGGGTATAGCTGAGGTTGAGAACATCTGCCCACCTAGCCTGGGCTGCCCTCTGACTCCACATCTTTTTTTGGCAGGTGGGGGATAGAGTCTCACTGTGTCGCCCAGGCTGGAGTGCAGTGGCACAATCTCGGCCCACTGCAGCCTCCGCCTCCCGGGTTCAAGCAATTCTCGTGCCTCAATCTCCTATCTGGGATTACAGGTGCCCACCAGCACACCCGGCTCCTTTTTGTATTTTTAGTAGAAACGGGGTTTCACCATGTTGGCCAGACGGGTCTCAAACTCCCAACAGCATGTGATCCACCCACCTCAGCCTCCCAAAGTGTTGGGATTTGACGCCACTTCTCGATCGCGTCTTTCCCTTGTTTCTCTCTTCTGTCTCTAGCCCTTATTCTCATCTGCTTCCCCACTTCAATTTTCCTCTTATGTTCTCTTTCCTAGCTTCCCCTCTTCCAGCTTCCTTACAACTACTCCTATGAGTAATGCCCCCTAGCATTGTCTCTTAGCCTGACGTTCTTGAAACCATACAGTTGCAACCCTGTTAGAACATTGCCACACTGTACTGTTTTCCCTGACATTTGCTTGCCACTCCGTAAGCTGTCAGTGCAGTTTCTGCGCATCTAAGGCTTGTCAATTTTGTTCTCCACCAGTAACTTGTATGAAGAGCAATTATGATCATTGCTATTATGCTCTCACCGTGTGCCTATCACTGCTCTAAGCACTTTACATGTATGAGCCTACATAATCCTGACTTGAAGGAGATATAAGGGACATAAAATAGCTTGTCCACAGCCACAGAGTGGCAGAGCCAGAATGCAAACGCAGGCAGCCTTGCCCCAGATCCTACACTCTGAGATGGGACCCCAAGTTAGTTGCTCATAATCCTGATTCAGGTGTCCTGGCATGCCATGAGTCACACATCATATAGGCTGTTCTCTGCTGTGATAAGAAATTGAAATTTGGACCCACTATCTGCTTCAATGACATTTGGAATTGATAACTCTTTTTATTTTCAACTTATTTTATTTGCAACTTAAATGATAGTATCTCAGTAGGAAGCTCACAGCTTTAAATCCCATCAAGATTTTAACTCATCACCATTCAGAAGAGATCCTACTTAAATGATTTTTTGTGTGTGTTGTCTGTCAGGAATATAAATTGAAGATATAAAAGCCAGCACCCGCAATAATTCTGCAACTGGCAGGAGGCAACGCAGGACCTCTTGGTGGCCTTGATAAGGGTCTTCTTTGGCTTGTCCAGGATGTGACCTTCTGCAGCCTCCATTGTTAGACATTCCAGGGCATTTTCTGCCTTTTAAAAAGCATCTGATTCTCATTCTGGTGTTTAATCAGAGAGAGCACGCTGGCCTCTTTCCATTCCTCATGGGAGAGCTCCATTTTTGTGCTCAATCTTTGGTGATACTCAGGGTTGATGTTTTAGTGGGCTAGACCTTCTGCATTGGATTAAAACCTTTCACATGAGCTTGATGAATTATCCAGTGACCAAGTCCCCTGGGGGCCTTCAGCCCTGTAGATTTCAGCATGATAAGAGTGGAAACGAGTCCATCATGCCTGGGGTGTAGTGAGCACTCACATCATGGATTTTTTTTTTTTTTTTCATTTTCCAAGCCCCTAACCATGTAAGGTGTTTTATAAGCATTCTTTTATTCGAGTCTCTCAACAATTCTATACTACTGGAATTATGCCCCTCTTCATTTTTCTAGATGAAGAAACATAGGCTCAGAGACAAAGCTTCCCAGTGCTCAGGGTTACATGGTGAAGGAGGCAGAGTTCGCACGTACACCTGCTGAGCCACAGGGACCATGCCTGTGTGTTTCATTTATGTGCTATCTGCTCCCCGAGATGAATGAGGTTAGATATTTTCTTAGGAGAAGAAATACTTGGAAGGCACAAATGGGGTACGAGAAACATATATTCAGCTTCTCTGTGGCTAGCAGGCCTGAGCCAGCCCCCTCCCCCTCTGTATTTGAATGTAGTCCCATCTGTTGCCCACCTGTGTAAGGCTGCCAGGTAAGGAGGATGTAAGGCTGTTGGCTGGCAGGAGGCGGCACACAGTAGGTCCACAGACTAGTAAAGGCAATGCCTGTCTGACTTCTGATCTTAGGGCTGTACCTCCCTCATTTGTGTCCAAAGACCCAACATCTTTAGGATTCTCCCCCCGCCCCCTCCCCATCTAACCGTGCCCACTGACAACTCCAGTGCCTTCTTCTAAAGTTCTTTTGTAATTCTTAATAATTAAACTATGCCGATAAACTATGCTAATTGCCTAGATCTGTGGTTCTGCAACATTTATGGACATCAGAATCACCCGGAGGCTTGATAAACACAGACCACTGGACCCCACCCCAGAGTTCTGATTCAGGAGATGATGCCAGTGCCGCCGGTCCAGGGACCACACTGTGGGAACCACTGGACCAGGGAGCCTGGTCCCAGTTATACGTGTGTTGATGGTGTCTGACCAGTTGCATATCTGGTAATTCAGCCTCACTGGGAAAGATGCCATGGGAAGATAATGAGGAAGGCATTTGGGGTAGGAGGCTCAGGCCTTTGTCCCTTCATCATAGCAGAAGATAATTACCTTTTACGTTGATGTGCAGTGGCGTTAGACAGCTTCTCACGGTTGTGAGCCTCTGCCAGCTCTTAAATCTCCGAGCCTGCTTTCTTCTGTGGACGAAATGGCGTTTCCTTCTAATTATTTTTGATTCCCATATCAGGTTTCTCAAGCTAGGATTGCATTGGAAGTGCCTGGAGGTCTTGTTAAAGTGAGGATTCTGAGTTATTAAGTCTGAGGTGGGACCCAAGGTTCTACATGTCTAATGAGCTCCCAGGTGATGTAGATGTCGCTGGTCCATGGATCAGCACCGGGCAGCAATTCTGAGTTACAGCTGTATACAGCAATGGTGCTTGCCCCTGCTGCCCAGTAGAATCACCCAAGGAGCTTTTAAAAACAAATATTTGAGCCACATTCCTTGGAGATTCTAGTTTAATTCTGGGGATTAGAATTTTTAACTCCCCCATTCCCCAACTCCCTTGTGATTCCAATGTACAGTCAGAGTTGGAAGCCATTGGCCTTTACCCACAAAAAGGGATAACACCTTCTGGGAGGTCAGGTGCATGTGCGGCACCATGGACCAGGTCGGGCTGGTTGCCTCCATGTTGGGAGGGTGCGCCATTACTCCTGGGGTGCTGCAGAGGTCACCTGGGAATCTTGTTAAATAATGGATTCTGCTTCGGCAGGTTTGGGGTGGGACCTGGATCTCTGCATTTCTAATAGATATCTGAGTGTTGCTGATGCTGCCAGTCCAGGCTGGTGCTGAGTCCCAAGACCCGCCCACAAGGGCCCACACGATGCCTGTTATCTCTGCCGGTGGTGGCAGTGGGTAGCTTTTCTCATGACGAGCGTTAGAGGCGTTTGGCTTCCCACCATCTCTCTCCTTAAATGCCATCCTGACTTCTCTTTTACTCAGCTTGGTATTGGCACAGGACACTGGGCAATATAGGTCCATTCTCTTTTTGTAATGTTTTCTTCCTTCTCTCTTCACAGTACGAGATGCAAAAAATCTAATCCCTATGGATCCAAACGGGCTTTCAGATCCTTATGTGAAGCTGAAACTTATTCCTGATCCCAAGAATGAAAGCAAACAAAAAACCAAAACCATCCGCTCCACACTAAATCCCCAGTGGAATGAGTCCTTTACATTGTAAGTGGTCTCTCCTTGATCAAATCTCGTTCCTATACACCATGCAGTTGCCCACCTCGTTGTTTGAGGTAATGAAGTAGGTTCATTATAAACGTCTTTAAACGTGTCTTCAGTCCTAAGACCTCCTCAGGCTGCCATTAGGGAGGTAGCTATTAGCACCTGTTTGATAGATAGTAATTTGATTTACCAAGAGTTGCATAATTCCGGCCTCAAATTATTATCATTATCTAACCTGGTTAAACAATTCTGTGTAAGGTATTAAAGATGATGTAAAAATGTATCCGGTGTGTCCACCTCTCGATAGACTTAGGTTCTTTTGAGAGTTAGGGGAGGGCATAAGACAAGAATTTAAATAATTTTTAGACCACAGAATGAGTGAGTAATATAGGAAGTGTTATTGCCACTGAAACGGCAAGATCATTCTTGCCTTCAAAGAGAGAAGACCTCCTGGAAAAGGTGACACTTAAAGCCAGCCTGGGAGGGTTGCTAGGATTTCAGAGGTAGAGATGGTAGAAGGGGAAGAAGGAAGGAGGGAATAAATAAGTCAGGAAGACTGAGTGCAGCTGAGCAAAAGCAGGAGGTCCCCTTTGTAGACTAGTATACAGGAAGCAGCTTTTCTGTGGACAACCAGAAAGGTAGCTATCTATTCTAGAGGGACCAGCAAGCTCTGCTCTGTAAAGGATCAGATAGTATATATTTTAGGCCTTGTGGGTCATATAGCCTCTGTTGCACCTGTACAACTTTCTAGTGCCAAAGCAGCCATAGGCAATATGTAAACAAATAACCATGGCTGGGTTCTAATAAAACTTTATTTATAAAAATAGACGGTGGGCTAGATTTGGCCCATGGGTCATAGTTTGTTAACTCCTCCTGTAGCGCTTTGGTTGCCAGCATAAGGGGTTGGTATTTTACTGGACCAGGAAGAGAATCAAATATACTATTTCTGTATCTCAGGCTCAAATCATGTACAGGTGGTATCTCCCAAGAAACCATGATCAAAATAACCTAGTGTTTGCATGTGTGTGTGTCTTGTAGCAAACTGAAACCTTCAGACAAAGACCGACGACTGTCTGTAGAAATCTGGGACTGGGATCGAACAACAAGGAATGACTTCATGGGATCCCTTTCCTTTGGGGTTTCGGAACTAATGAAGATGCCAGCCAGTGGATGGTATGGAAGCTGCTGAGGTTGAATATGTCTCAAAGCATCAGACCATTTAGACAGTTAGGTTTCAGTCTCTAAAATGTCAGTTGAGACCGGACATGGTGCCTCATGCCTATAATCCCAGCACTTCAAGAGGCCAAGGCAGGTGGATTGCTTGAGCCCTGAAGTTTGAGACCAGCCTGGGCAACATGGAGAAACCCCATCTCTACAAAAAATACAAAAATTAGCCGGGCGTGGTGGTATAACCTGTAGTCCCAGCTACTCAGGAGGCTGAGGCTTGAGGATCGCTTGAGCCCAGGAGGTTGAGGCTGCCGTGAGCCGTGATTCACCACTGCCCTCCAGCCTGGGCAACAGAGCTACCCTGTCTCAAAAATATAAAAATTTAAAAAAGTCAAATGTCTACTTCTCTACCTGTAGCCTCTCCATAGGATGCGTTTCCCAAAACAGCTTGACTAGAGGTTCAGGAGAAGGCTTGCTAAACTTGCGGTGGTAACTCTCTTTCTCCTGTCTTTGAAAGGTACAAGTTGCTTAACCAAGAAGAAGGTGAGTACTACAATGTACCCATTCCAGAAGGGGACGAAGAAGGAAACATGGAACTCAGGCAGAAATTCGAGGTGAGGATAACAAAATGCCTGGAAACACCTTTCCTGTAGAAAGCCTGACTTCAGGAACAGCCGAGATAGTGTGGTCACATTTTCGAAAGGCAAAAAAGTAATCTAAATGTTAATGATCTTTTTCTTTATTTAAAAACATAAATGTTCACTCCCTTTCCTTGGCAAGCTGTTGACTTTTTATGACTCTTATCACTTAGAAAATGGAAACTGGAAATATCCCAGAAATGAAAGCATGGTTGATTTTTGCATAAGAGATCGATTTGCACATCACTGGGGAGAGAAGCAGCCTCTGAGGGGCAGGATTGTTCTTACAAGGGAGGACTTGTGCTCTTCTGAAAAGGAGGAAGTCATTTTGGCCTTTCCTTGGGAGCTCATTTGTGTGTAATCAGGCTATCATCTGAGACTTTTTTTTTCCCCCTGCAGAAAGTACAAGGTTCCTAATTTTGTTCTGAAAGACCAGCTTAAACAAATATGCCTTTGTGTGTGATCCTTTTTTATCTATATTCCAAGTGTTCAGCAAAGGCCACCTCCCTCTCTTCTTCCTCTTGGCATTTGTGTTTGCCTCTGTCCCGGATTCCCTGGTCTTTTTTCTTCTCCTCCTCTGCTGCTTACTTCTCTTTTTCTTCTCCTCTCTCTCCCTTCTCCTCTTCCTTTACCAGACATCTCCGCTTTTAGTAAACAGTTCTTTTCTCTAAGCACCTTCCTTATGTTTTAAAGTCACAACTTCTAATATTTTTCTGCTTCTCTCATCACGCTTCATTTTGGCTGTTCGAGGGACTCGTAGAGTAGCCTTTTCAGTCTGTGTAACAGGTTAATTCCTTTGTGAATCTTTCTCTTCTTCAGACTCATTAGAATTCCCCAGAATTTCCCCACTCTAGAGCAATACACGTGCACACGCACACATGTGTATAGGTGCTGAACTGTTACTGAAATGTTGACACTAAAGGGATGCTATTGCTCCTGTTTTCCTTCTTCTGTTGTTCTCTAAGAAACAGACAGATCTGGGGGGTGGGGAAGAGTGGTCTTGGGAGGATAATAAACCTCCTTCATGCACCCTGCAAAAGAAACATATAGGTCTTATCCAGAGAGAATGAATCCCAAAGGATGTAAAACATGCAGTTGTTCAAATTACTTTGTTAAACTGATGTTTGGTTAAAGTCTATGTTGGTGGCAAATACTAAATGGCAGGGGCTCTGGTTAGATGTCCTTGGGAGCACGAACGAGTGAAATGATTCACAGGTGATAAATGGCAGTGAATAGCAGGCCTCAGGATTGAGGCAGTAGGGAGTGGTGGAGACTGGGGTAAGCTGGTAAGCTTGAGCCCTGTCTGCAGGTGGCAGCTACTGCTACCCTGCCCGACTTGATGTTTCTCACACGCGAGTCCAGGCCTGTGTTGCCAGATCTTCCTTCTTCAAGAGAAGACAGAAATCCAGGTTTTTATGTGATACATTCTGATTTATCTTAATGTTGGCAGAGTTCTAATGTTAAAACTTAGAACCAGGCCAGGTGCGGTGTCTCACTCCTGTAATCCCAGTACTTTGGGAGGTTGAGGCAGGCAGATCACTTGAGGTCAGGAGTTCAAGACTGGCCAACATGTCGAAACCCTATCTCTACTAAAAATACAAAAATTAGCTGGGTTTGGTGGCATGCGCTTGTACTCCCAGCTACTCCAGAGGCTGAGGCATGAGAATTGCTTAAACCTGGGAGGCGGAAGTTGCAGTGAGCCGAGTTCATGCCACTGCACTCCAGCCTGGGCAACAGAGCAAGACTCTGTCTCAAAAAAAAAAAAAAAAAAAAATATTTTAGAACTGTCCAGATGTGGTAGCTCACACCTATAGTCCCAGCACTTTGGGAGGCCAAGGCAGGCAGGTTGCTTAAGCTCACAAGTTTGAAACCAGCCTGGGCAACGTGGCGAAACCCAGCCTCTACGAAAAATGCAAACACTAGCAGGGTGTGGTGGCATGCGCCCGTAATCCCAACTACTCGGTGGCTGAGGCACGAGAATCACTCGAACTCGGGAGGCAGAAGTTGCAGTGAGCCAAGATCACACCACTGTACTCCAGCCTGGGCAACAGAGTGAGACCCTGACTCAAGAAAACAAACAAAATCTTAGAACTCTGTGTAGGTCAAATGTGCATCTATTGCTTTAGACACCAGTAGGATCCAACCAGTCAGAACCAGCTGGCAGTCTCTGCTCTTCAAAAATAGAGGAGAGAAAAAATAATTTTAAAAAATTATTTGTATAGTTGTATATATTAGAATATGTATAAATATAAATATGTGTGTGTATCTGTGTATCTACTATTTGTCTATCAATAGAAAAGAATGAGATTCTTTTCAAAGAGGCCTTATGATATTTAGAGGAATTCAAGTACAAAGATGAAAGTCAGGGTTTTGGGGCAGGTTCAAATGACTATGCCAGGCATAGCTCTTTTTCAATTTGTATTTCTTCCCTTGCTTCATTATCTGTTTCCACCCCTACCCTGCAGCTGAAGATGCAGACCCGGGGTACTAGAGAGGACCACCTTCTTGAGCCCCATCCCTGATGTCACACCACCTCTGTGACGGATGGATCCTTCTAGAGAGAGTTTCAGGACTGAGTGCCAGCATTCCTCAGCTGTCTCAGGCAGGGGAGGAACCTGAGGAGCCAGAAAGAACCTTCCTTACTGAACGTTATGCCGTGGTGTTGATCACGAACAGTCACTGGGTCAGGGGCTGCTGGCGCAGAAAGAATGCATTCGAGGGAGGAACAGCACGGGCGTTCCCCATGGGGTTCCTCACAGTAATGTCTGAGACTTAGCTTTGCTGCTGGAGAAATATTGACCCACTCTTTGTGCTTCATTGTCGTGGCTTCCTGGTGAGTAAACCTCCTGTTTTTCTGGGCAGTGAGTTCAGCTTTTTATAAAGGTCAGAGTTCCAAACAAACAAAAACAAAATACAGGCCAGAGGCCCTGAGCAAACGCGAAGCATTTCTCTTGGGAGGCTGGTCAGAGGCCCCGGGTGTGTTGCTGGTCACTATTCCTCCTCCTGAGAGGGCTGTGGACTTGGCAGGAGCGCCAGCCCGAGACCGTGCAGCATCCTCGGGAGAGGTGGCGTCAGCAGAGTTGCATGGGGTGGAGGCTCTGCTCTTCAGCCTACTGAGGGCTATGCCTGGAGCATCTACATGAACTGCATTCTAGCCTTTGCTTTAAATACCTTTCAGCTTATAGTTCCTAGATTTTACTCAAATTACATTAGCTCATTTGCTTAGAGCATTTACAAAAAAAACACAACTGCGAGAGACTGGGCAGAAAGCCACTAGAGGATGGCATCAAAAAGATGCTGAGAATTTTATGACAGCTGCCATGCTTCATTTTAAAAATGCATATTCAGATCTGATTTTAGGCAGGGGTTCAATCACATAATGGTGTTTTGTTGAGGTCTATAAATGTGAGAGTTGCAAGACTTCCCCAGTGCCAAGTTACTGGGAAGGGATGCACCAGGGCAGAAAGGCTGGCATCCACATTTGAGCAGTTCTGGGTGGCAGCCAGGCTTTGCAAACAGGGTGCCAGTTGGCATCAGGTCCAATTTGAAGCACCTCTTTGAGCCCCCACCCCGTTTCCTCCTTCTCAGTCTGTAGCGTGAGTGCTTCTCAGTGTCTCCAGACTCCCCTCTCTGGGCCCTTTCTCGCCAAATAACTGCCTTTCTAACTTGCTTTCCATCACATTAGTCTTTTCTTCCCTACCCACTCTTTCATAGATATTTTGCCACCCTCCAGTAACAGTTTGATTCAGCTGAGTAAGATATTTTTGTTAAGTTCAATGATGAATCTGTATTGGTTGAAACACACATGAGGGTTCGTCCTGCTGGGAACAGGCATCACTCAGTGGCATCACACAGTGTCCAGTCTGTCCTTATCTTTCCATGTCCAGCTCTGTTTTCTAAAAAGGGTTCCCTCCATGCAGTTTTCGAATCCTTCTCCAGAAATCAAAAGTCATTCCGTTGGATGAAAGAGAAACCAAATGAGCATTTACAACTCTGCCACTGCGTTAGTATTCATTCGATAATTAGATGGAACATTTTTGCAATTTAAATGGTTGGTTCTCAAATCTTGGCAAACAGATTGATCAGTGAGTGGTGAGTGGAGCTCTTAGGAGCCAAGGAATATTCCAGGGTGGCTGGAGATGACCTTCCTCGCTAGTACAGATCCTGCTAGAGCCGTTCATTCTCCTACAAGACAAAACAAGCCAGAATCTTGATTGCGATATTCATGGACAGTGTGTCTGTGGGCCTTTAATCTGTTCCATGTTTGTCATCAAGTAAAGTACGCATGGTCCCTGATTCACAAACATAAATGATGCGTTTTTCCATTGGTTAAAGTAAGGTGCCAGCAGTGGGCTAAGCAGACAGTTCCTGCTTTCTGTGGAGCTTACGTTCTGTACCTGTGAGTCCTGCTACAAAAATCTTTGGGAACAAAGCAGGGAGCTTATATCCCCTGTGCTGGCCAGTGATTCCCCTGAATCTCCGGGCACTATTGAGGACAAATGAGATTCCTGTTCTTTCCTCTCACTCCTTGGTCTCTGCTCCCTGTGATCAGGCTCACGGCCAGAGTTGGGAAAAGGTCCACCTTGCATTAGAGGCAGTGCAGAGGATGGGTTAGCTCTGCTCAGCAAACTTCTTCTGTACATAGTCAGAGAGTAAATATTTTAGGCTTTGTGGGCCATGCAGTGTCTGGTATAACACTCAACTCTGCCGTTGCAGCTCAAAAGAGCACAAATACATAAACAAATGAGTGTTGGTGTATTCCGATAACAAGTTACTTACAAAAACAGCTAGCAGACCAGACTTGGCCCAAGGGCCAGAGTTTGCCAACTTCTGGTTCAGCCCATAGGCTCTAGAATCAAATCCTAGTTTTGTCACTTATTTATTATGTGACCTCTCTGTGCATTGGCGTACTTAACTGTAAATGGAAAAAAACAGGTCAGGATAACTAGTTCTGTTTTTTCTATTAGTTATAAATA